AACTTTCAAAACAGTCATTTAGGTCCTCAAACTTTAGTTTTAAACTCAATTTCATCCTACAGCTATGAAGATGATCGTTTCAGTCCTCAAATTTTGTATTTTTGGCTCAATTTCATCCATAAACTATCAAAGTGCATTGAACTTTTATTTTTAACACAATTTTATCTATTCAAAAAGAAAACTTTATATTTTAGACACAATTTCATCCATAAATTATCAAAATTATAGATTTGTTATTGTTTCAATATATCCATGTATTCTTAAAGAATAAGTAGTGTTCGATGTAACTGTAATTGCTCCCATAAATATCATTTAGTCGGATATATATAAATGGTACCAGTATAAAGTAACACTAAAAATAACAGCTTGAATTATTAATGGCCACGTAAGAGCTTTTGGATGAATATTATTTTTCTATCTCCAATCGCTGGTGGTGTTGGAGCTAACCAGGTGCAACAGTGCAGCGTTCCATGTAGAATGTAGACAAAGTTGAGATAAAAATAAAAGTTTAAAGAACAAAATACACTTTGATAGTTTATAAATAAAATTGAGCCCAAAATGCAAAGTTTGAGGACTAAAACAATTATATTTATAGTTCTACGATAAAATTGAGCCTAAAAGTAGAGTTTGAGGACTAAAACGGCCGTTTTAAAAGTTCAAGGACGAAACTGAGTCAGTTGAGGGACCAAAATGACTATTCTGCCTTCTTCATACATGCATAAGATTGGACAGTAGTGGTCACTAACCACAATTGAGGATAGAAGCAAGCAGTTGGATACACAGGCACACACTATGCTACAGCAATATATGACTAGTACTACTCAGCAAGAGACGGCCCTTAAAGCTGCCCCTGCCCTAGCCTACCGGTGTATACATCACCTTTGCCCCATCGCGATATAGGTAAATCTTCATGCAAGTCTCTGGTCCAGAGAGGCCCAGTAGCTCCTTACAAACCTCCTCATCGACAGTGGCTTTAGGATCAAAGTTTATAGTAATTGATTTGAGCACTCCCGCCCATACCAGTAGTCGTTTCACAAACGTCAAATCACAACCTGCTCCTCTCAATCCACAAACCTTCAGTTCCTGGAGAGAATTCAAGAAGAGCTCCTCACTTTCCCAGTCATGCAGCTGATGGCAAACACAATCTGGTGAACAAGCAGCTTGTTCCTAAGATGAGGAGCATAAACATAAGCTCGGCTAACTGCTCAACAAACTTTACAATGGCTACTGACAATAGCATTAGAAAGAGGAAACGGTTTAGATACATGGCAAATTTGCAGATAAACAGGATTCCTTGCTTTTTTTTCCTTTTTTTATTGAAAAGGAACTCCATTGATAGAAACTATGAACATCGTACATGGATGAGGTCCAAAGTACCCCCAAGATACAGATGACAAAAGCTCTCTACTGGACATTCAGAGAAATGAAGTGGATGAGAGCAAGAGAAGGAAGGCAAAGTACAAGTCACTACTGGAGACGACCTCTTTGCCGAGGGCCCTTTATCGGGCACTCGGCAAAGCCTTTGCCGAGGGTTGGAGCGGCACTCGGCAAAGTAAAGCAGCCGTCCCGGCGCCGGCGCCTGGGATGGAGTCTATGCCGAGGGCCGTCTCCGAGGGCCCTCGACAATGATTTTTTTTTTGAAAAATCTTTACCGAGGGCAATGGGACGGCCCTCGGCAAAGAATTATTCTTTTTTTTTGAAAAATCTTTGCCGAGGGCTTCGACTCAGGCTCTCAGCAAAGATTTTTTTTTTAAAAAAAGTCTTTGCCGAGGGCCTCCAACAATGGCTCTCGGCAAAGAAATGTTGCAGAAATTTTATTTTTTTTAAAAAAATCTTTGCCGAGGGCAATGGGACGGCCCTCGGCAAAGGACCCTTCTTTGCCGAGGGCCTTGGTCATTGCCCTCGGCAAAGAGGCAGATTTTTTTTTGTTTTTTCCATTCCATCGACACAAGCATTTCATATACATACATACATATATATATATATATATATATATATATATATCAACCATCACATATATATATCACACAGAACCCATTTTCTCATAATATATCACAACCATAATTGTGAACCACAAATCACAATATATTACAACGACAAGTCACATGTTCATCATCATTCACATGTTTATTACGACAAGTTCATGAAATCCAAGCACAAGTCAGAACCATAAACCACAAATATTACAATAAAGTCCAACCACATCACCTAGCACTAGTCCTCATCAAGGTAGCCTATGAGACGGTGGTGAAGGAAAGGCGGGATCAGCCGGTGACGCACTACCGGGATGATTGGAACCCGCGGACGGAGGCTGCACAAAGGAGCAGAGATTACATGTGTGAGTAATCCGGGAAAACAGTTTTAGAACTTAGAGATTGCATCTAGTAACGTAGGAATACAAAAAGATTAGACTCAATTAAAAATTTCAGCAGCACCTCCCCTGCACGGGGAGGTTTCCAAAACCTGCAAGAAACAACGGCACGAACGCCGACATCCACAACGGCACGAACGCCGACATCCTGGCGGCACGAAGGCCGACATACATGCAAAGCACAAGCGAAAAGTGAACTTTCATACTTACGAGGAGTAGCTGCAGGAGTAGGAGGTGGAGGAGCTGAAAGCGCTGCAGTACACCCGATGCTTGCCCAAGACTTTGCATGATCACCATCATCTCCGTCATGCTTCTGCGTAGCCTCGAACGCGACTTTCTTTGGGCTGTTGTCTTGGTCAGTTCCTGCGTTCGCTCTTGACTTTGCCTTTTTTGTTTCTTCCAGCTCGGCCGCAATATTTCACTCCAATGTACCGATAATGCAAATCTAATTTAGGTGTGTAAATATCAGCGTCTGACGAGTAAAACAGAATTACACAGAGTGCCCGGACTCTGCTGCAGATCTTTGGAGAAGGCCGTGAGCGATATGGGCTGGTGGAGCTCGTGCTCCGTGCTTTCGGAAGCGTCGAGGGAGGAACAGTGGTGGAGTCGATGGCGCCAATCTACAATCCTGACCGCCCATGCTTCTTGCCTCCTCCGAGCCTCATGATTGTCTCTGCATCAATGGGCTGAGTGCGCACATTGTAATCTTCCTCATAGATCTCCCTTATCGAAGACGTGTACTCTTGGACTTTAGTGTACACATTCGGGTCGGAGTACACCTAGGGCGGGGCAGCCAGGTCGAAGGAGACAGAGGACGACGCTCTGCCCATGTGGGACATAGCCCACGCAGAGAACTCCGAGACCTCCTCGCCCGGGTGCGCGGCCTCCTGCGAGAAAGACGGAAAGATGGTGAGAAATCAAGCAGAATTGAGCATCAAAATAAATAAAAGAAATCACTTACGTATGCTTGTTTGTATCCGGAGACGCTGCGGCTGCCTTGATGGTGAGTTGAATCTTGCCTCAACAGACGCTGTTCTCGCAGCCTCTCGTGCGTGTCAACAAAGTCCTGTGATAACCACTTGTCCACGATCATGGCCCAGCACTCGGGATACGATCGGCACCACCAGGGAATCACCTACAAGTCATCGAGTATTTGACATATAAGAAGATGAAATTGAACCTACTTAATATCAAAACGAATCATTATGAATGTTATTCGCCTACAAGTCATCAACGAAAAGAAATAAATTAGGGAAATATATAAAAAAAATCAAATTTAGCCCAAATTTTAAAATTGAGTTTTAAATAATGTATTATAGCACCACAAAAAAACTGGGTTAAAAAAACCAAAAAAAAATCTTTGCCGAGGGCCTAGCCTGGCCCTCGGCAAAGGGGTCTTTGCCGAGGGCCTGGCCAATGGCCCTAGGAAAAGAATATTTAAAAAAAAATCTTTGCCGAGGGCCTGACGGCGGGCACTCGGCAAAGACTGACGCCAGTGGCCGCCATGACCCATCTGGCCATATTTGCCGAGGGCCGTTTCTTTGCCGAGGACCAGGCCCTCGGCAAAGGCTTATTTGCCGAGGGCCTCGCTTTGCCAAGGGCTCCTGGGGCTGGCCCTCGGCAAAGACCCCCTTTGCCGAGTGCCCGAGATATAGCCCTCGGCAAACCCAGAAGCCCTTGGCAAAGAGGCCGTCTCCAGTAGTGAGTAGCATTCTTTGCAAGGTAAGCTAAAGAGTGAGCTAATCCCTAATTACTGAGCTTGAAAGTTGTGTCCTTTGAAAAGCAAACAGGATGTCCTTTACTCCTTTTAGTGTTAGCCAATTGCAGCAATGAGTTTGTACTGTGTAGAGAGAGAGTTACAGAAAAACAAAAACACAAAATTATGCCAATCACAAATAGTGTATAATCAATGAATTCAACTTATTAGGGTTTCAACAGAGCCTTGAGGGTGTGTTTGGTTTCGGGGTGTCATCCTGATGTTTGGTTCGAGGACAGGTATGCTCGAACCGTCCCTAGGAGAGAATATTCCCCTAATTTCTTTTTCCTCTTCCCATCTTCCATTTGGGTAGGCCTGCCTTCCTAGCAGGCACACTCTGCCTGACCCGAAGGAGAAGGCAGCCTGGCGGCCACGCTCCGCCCAACTCCGGAAGAGAAGGCAGCGCGGGGGAGCGCTGGTGGGTGACCTCGACAAGCGACCCTGGCACAAGCTTGGCCACGCCCCAGTGTGGGCAAACTCGCTCGACCCCGGCGAGCAAGCAAGCTCAGTGCCAGTGGTCGGGGCAGCGTGGACTATGGAGGAGAAAGGGGTGGCATGGGCATCCCCATCCCTCCAACCAAACACAGAGCAGAGATATCCCCATCTCCTTAACTAAAAGCAAAGATGCAACCATTCCATCCCAAAAACAGGAATGGATCCATCCCATCCCTCTTCTCCAAAAACCAAACACACCCTTAGTGTCGCACCATGAGAAGTACCATCAGCTTTAATACTAACCTTGTGTAAAGCATACCAAAAGTTTATGCCAGCGAGCAAAATCTGCACCGGCACTTAATTAGGACCCAAAGTACTCATGCAATTTTTCATTGTACTTTTTAGAGTGACACATAGCTGCTAGAGTATATGCATACACTATATCATCTAGAAACAAAACATGAAGCAAATTAGAAAACCTAACTCCAGAAGTATCACCATTAGTCAAGCATTAGTGCAGCAAATAAAAACATTCCACCACTTTCCAAACAATCAAAGTATTCAATGGCTGATAAAGAGAAAAGAATACCTTAATGGCTTCACGTATATCCAGAAACAGACATCTTATAAAAGTAGAAATCTTAAGGAAATGGAATACACAAGAGCCAATTGCATGTCCACATGGTAGTAGGACCAGGTCTAATATCTCAACCGGCAGCGAGGTCAGGGCTTCCATCCAGTTCTGGCAGTAAACCATCTTCTGCAAATTCACAAAAGACCACAAGAAAATTTCATATGCAGCAAGAAATAAAGCAGCTTTCCAGAATAACTGATTTTCTCACAAGGGATAACTGTTACAAAATGCTGCAAAACTACTTCAGACTTGTTCTGTTGAATAATGGCACAGAAGATCTCTCCAGTAAAGAATCACAATTTTTTTTTCACAGCGGCATAACCAAATTTTCATTACCACAAAACAATGAAATTACAAGTGTTAGGTTTTGGCATGCAGCAACACAGAGAAACAGTAGCAGAAGCCTCTGAACACACAGGGTTCAGCTGGCTTGGCAAACTTCCCAAAGCAGACTTACTTAAAGCTAGTGAAGAGTCACAATTACTTGAGAACTACACACTCACCCTGTTTGGGCCTTAACTGAATGGAATATGCCCACTGCCCTCCACTCATGAATTCATGTCCTTGACCAAATATTACAACTTGCTTGGGACTGAAAGGCTATGTTTTTGTTGTTGTTGTTGACCAAATATTACAACTATACCAGCGCATCTACGCGTACAACTGATAAAAAGCGGCTGAAGTAATGCAATCATCTGATATGGTACATTAAAGTTTATGCAAAAGGAAGACTAAACATGATCCATCAAAAAGATTTGATTTCAATGAATAACCTCAACTATCATATGAGTCCGAGACTTCAGAAAAACAAATCAAGCAAGAATTTTATACAAGAAATGGGGTGTGCCTAAAAGTTGCAATTTGTGGTCATACAAGATTATCGTGTTTGAAATGATGATATAAGTTGGTAGGGGTTGCACCAAACGAAGAAAACCTTGTCCATTGAAATGGCATGGACATATCCCACAAATGCCTCTAGAATCACTGGTGCATAGAAGAATACTAAGGCGTGCCAAAATAATGTAAAGAGAGGCGGGCTTCAACCTCAACCAAAATCTAACATAAGAAGAGTTTGTAAAGAGATACTTGACAGAATATCCCCAAAACATTATCCATGAATAGGAACACATGGAAATTTTAGCATTATTACTATTACTTATACCTTATTATTTTTTTTAGTAGCGAACAGGTTTGTTGCCAAGTGATCTCAGGAGCCTTAGTACGTAGCACCTCAGGTCCTAGGTTTGACTCCCCGTGGGAGCGAATTTAAGCAGGCCTGGGTTAAAAAATGCCCCTCGTTGACTGTGTTCCTAAGTTATGTGTGTAATACCCCTTGTTGGTTGTGTTCCTAAGTTATACGTGTAACCATCTGAGTCGCTTTTAGCGATATGCACATCGATGGCATGTCCAGGGTAGCTGGCCTTTGGGGTAATGACGTGGGGGCAGTCTTTCCCCTTGAGGTCGAGTTTTTTTATATATTTTAATGGTTGGATATTTATTGGGTTTAATCCCTAGCCTACCTCAAGTACTTTGAACAAAAAAGGCTCTGTTGGTGACTTGGTGTTGTACCTACCCACGCTGATAGGTGATAACTAAATATCCTACTGAGGTGGGATCCAAAAACCCCAATTCATTTGTTTGCCAGATCAAATCAAATAGTTAATGCGTGTATACATCCAATGCTTGCACTCATGCCCTTGCATGGGCAAGCATTACAATAGTGAGCAGAACAATACATGTTATGTTTGTACAATTGTACCTACAACTGAATGTCCTTTCACCAGTCATTTTATTGATTACTCAGTTACTTGACTACATTAAGATCTAGCAATCACTACCACTACAAAGTAGTTGTTGTTACGCCTACAAATTTACATTTACTGGAAGGTTGTACTTAGCACTATTCAAATAAAAGAAAAGTTTGAAACCCATCATAACGGGATGTATACTCACAGTTGGATAGTCGATCATAATGACAAGAGCAGGGATCTTCCTAAAGCGCTGCAATAACATTACAGTGCCCAAACTGTACTGATGCTCAGGCAATCCATATATACCATGTATATGCAAAGAAGGAGGTCCCCAATACCCGTAGCTGTGCCAATTTGCCAAGCTGGACCGACCTCGGATCATATTCATCAAGCCATATGAACTTTTCCAGAACCGGAGCAGTGATGTCAGCCACTGGTTGCCTCTCGAAGAAGCAATTAGAGATAGACAGATCTCTCAGCATTGGCGACGCAACGGTAAGCTGCTGTAACCCTTTCAGATTTTTCAAATATATATGGACGAGAGATTCTGAATAGATGCTAAGATTGGACACCCCTTGAGCGTTGAAGAAACGGAGTTCCCGCAGCGAAGGGCAGCGGGCCGACGAGAAGGTGTCGCCGATGTCGGAGGTCAAGAGCTAGTATTTTGACCAAAAATGGGGAAAGAGAAAAGAGGAGCCCACGGCCTCTCAGTATGACAGTATGTCACAGAGAAGCGTGGCCAGCAGAGGCACAAGGCCGGGCTGTACTGGAAAAGGCCCAGATTCATTTTGGTGCAAATAGTAAACCCAACTCGCCTGGCCCAACCTAACTGATCTCACGACAGACGAAAATCTTAGCTTCTCAACTAACATTGGTTTTCCTGTAAACATTGTTATTGAGTAATAAAGCCTAGCTGATTGTCCTAAAAAAAAACTAACATTGGTTTAAGGTTCAGTGCCATTTCAATCGAACTGACTGTTCTATAATTACAGACAAGGGAGACCGTCAGTTTAACAGACAAGTTAGACCATAGGACCATACTACCATATTTCTACAATAGTTAGAGAATATTGACCGGTCCAAGGTTTGTTTTTTTGATAATGCTCTCGTGAGGACATCCGAACGGGTAGACGCGGCTTCCCACTCACGCACGCCATCCGCACCCCTTCTAATCTAAAAAATAACTCTCTACCCAGAGTGCTCTCACCAACTGGGACGCTTGCCTAGCAGGGGCTCACTAGGGGTGGTCGCCCAGCAGGTGCGCTCGCTAGGCAGGTGCTCGCCCAGGCCGCGGTAGCTCGCCAAAGTGGGCTGCTGCGGCCTCACGCAGGTGCTCTCCTAGGGTTGCGAAATGCTCGCCACTCCATGCGCCGCCGCCTCCGTGCCGGCATCGAGCTCCGCAACGACCAGCCTCCATTCGTAAAAACAACAAGGTGTCATTGCGTTGAAAGCTCATGTTGCAAGCTTATGTTTCAGATGTTTCATCTGGAATGTTGCATGTGTTTCATCTGGATGTTGCAAAAGTTGATCGAAATGTTGCACATGTTGCAATGCTTATACGCGTATGTTACGAGTGTATATGTTCCAAATGTTTTAGTTGTTTTTTAGAAGCATGTTGCAAGTGTATGTTTCAAATGTTTCAGACATATGTTGCAAGTGTTTTATCTAAATGTTGCATATGTTGCAGTGGCTACACACATATGTTGCAAGCGTATGTTCCAAATGTTCCATCTGTTTTAGACGTATGTTGCAGTGAGTCCACCATGTTACAAGTGTTTCATGATGTGGGGAAGCGGGTGCAGGCGGTCCCCATAGAGCCATGCGGGTGGGCGAGCAGGCACAGGCAAGCTGTTGATGCAAAAGTGGATCTGCAAACACAAAGGGCTAATACCCGAATCGATATCCAAAGCGTGCCAGTCGATTTGACCTGTTAATCGACAAGGATGAAGATACGAGCACTTTGGTCCTGACAACAGCGATACGCCCGGAAGTCAAGGCCAAGAGGTACTCACGCGGAACTCGAGAATCGCCGAAGGTCGCACTGAAGCGATGCAACTCGCCGAATCAATGAGAACTCGTAAAAAGGAAAAAATATGCAAATTGACGAAGTCGCCGAAAAGTAAGTAGATGCAAATAGGAGTAAAAATTGGTTTTGATATTGATTGATCTATATTACATTGCCCCTCAATCTATATTTATACCCTGATCTAAAAAGACATAACCAAATACGACTAGGACACCAAGTCCATATCTAAGGAAACACGTGACTCTTATATGAATCATACTCTAACAAATATAGAAAATGAAATCAACTCCTATCTATTTCCCTGTCCGCCTCAATTACGATGGAATTCTCACCGACCTCCTTTCCATCGGCATACTTCCTGTTTCATCGGCAGTAGTTTTCAAGCCTTCCTTCATCGACATCGACACTAACATCTCCAACCTTATCGGCAACGCCCGAGTCTAAATCAACCTTTCCATCGATCACCACCATTCATCGGCAACCATCTTTATAAGCTGATTTTCATCGGCTGTCAGCGTATACAGTAACTTTCCTCCTGCCGATTAGCCCACTCTGATCATTTTGACACGTGCAAAAAACGGTGTCAACACAAGCAGCAGGGCAAGCAGGGCACGGGTGCGGGCGAGCAGCAGGGCGCGGGCGAGTAGGCACAATAGGCCAGCAGCCGCGAGCGTCCGTCCGGATGTCCGGACGCTAGTCATGCCGTCGTTTTTTTAAATAAGACATTCGGATTGAAAATGGAGTGCTCTTGATCCGCATTTTCCTTATACGCCATAGGGGAGGGGAAATTGGCCTTCCGATCAATGGCTAGATTGTAGTTGTAGATACTAGTTTAGGGTTATAGGATTGCTAGTAGTAGGCTAGGTTTTTGGTAATGGACTCACCCCCAATGATTCCGTGCCGGATGTGTCTCCTTCCGCAATGCAAGTCTCCGATGTCATCGTCCTCTCTACCAGTGACTCGGAAAGGACTAGGAGATTTGTGTTCCTACCTACAGCTACAGACAAGATGGAAGACGATCTAGTCTTGCTCTTCCTCTTTGCGAATGGGTGCAAGCTTTTTTGCGAGTCTTTGATGTGTTCGGCGGAGGCAATGTAAACCGATTTCGAACTTCTTGTAATCCGATAATAAATCAGGATCTTTTATAAACCAACTTGTAAACGAATTAGACTGATTGTAACTTTATTCCCGGACTATATATAGTGTATAGATCCTTAATTAGTACCTTAATACATCGCATCAATGCCCTTGCAACCCTCCATATGTCCTACAAGCAATAAACTCTCCACATAAATTGGACATATAGGACAGCTTATGTCCAAACCAATATATAAATCTATATCGTATATGCAACTATTCAGATCTAACTGTGCGTGATTTATTATTGTTTAGAGACCTTACCAATTAATAATAACCACACATATTACACTACACATACTAGTGGCGTGGATAAGCATATCATACCGTGCAACTTGAAACGTTGTTGAAAAGTACGTTGCATTGTCCCGGTGCCAGTTGCATATGATCATACGAGCCTTTATTTAAATCCAGGGTGTAAAGTTTTAGAGTGTCACATCGGATGTTATATGGAGGTATCGTATCGGGTATTCGGATACTAATAAAAAAACAAATTACAGAATCCGTCAGGAAACCGCGAGACGAATTTATTAAGCCTAATTAATCCATCATTAGCGCATGTGTTACTGTAGCACCACATTGTCAAATCATGGACTAATTAGGCTTAAAAGATTCGTCTCGCAAAGTAGTCGTAATCTGTGTAATTAGTTATTTTTTTGTCTATATTTAATACTCCACGTATATGTCTAAACATTCAATATGATAGGATGTAAACTTTTAGGAGAGAAACTAAATAAGGCCTGAGTATCTATCACTATGGAAAACAAAGCCTTTGTCGAGTGCAAACTGCTTTGCCGAGTGTCAAAAATCGGGCACTCGGCAAAAAGGGGCACTCGGCAAAGGACTTCTTTGTCGAGTGCCAGGCTCTCGGCAAAAGCTCGGCACTTGGCATAGGCTGCCCCGCGTAACGGTGTTCGGCCACGTCCTTCTTTGCCGAGTGCCTGCTGTTAGGCACTTGGCAAAGATTTTTTTTTTGGAAAATACTTTGCCGAGTGCCTCTGACATGGTGCTCGGAAAAGATTCAATATTTTTTTTGAAATGTCTTTGCCAAGTGCCTAACCGCTGCGGCACTCGGCAAAGACCCCCTTTGTCGAGTACCATGCCCCGACGCTCGGCAAAGTTTTTTTTGTTTTTGGCCTCCAAATTTTTTGTGCAGCCCTTCTAAAGTACCAGGAACTCCTCGTTAGAATTTAGGGATTTTTTGTGGCTTTTTGATATATTTAGTTACTTTGTTTTGTTTACTTGAATTTTTTCGAAAAATATAAATTTGAACTGCACGTGGTACGAATAATGGAATTTAATGATTCAAAAATTGATAGTCATGTTAGTGAGTGTAGTGTGGGCCGTATCCAGGAACGGACCCGAAATTTCGGACATCTTGTTCACGAAACATGACCGCGAACTTGCGTGCGAAGTGTTTTTAAATTCTATAAAAAGCAAATGAAGTCCAAAAATCATGAAATTTGTTGAGATATCGTGATATCGTATGTGGAGGCTATGATAAAAATTTGCCGACGGCCGGATCGGGGCACTCGGCAAAGTTGCCTCCTTTGCTGAGTGTCTCCCTGATCCGGCTCTCGGCAAAGGGGCGGGTGGGGCACTTAGGCGATTTTGGCGGCCAGCGGTCGAGCCTCAGACCCTGCCAGCCCGCCAGCCCCGCCCCGCCCCGCACCACGCGCCGCCATCCGTGCCCATGCAGCCCGCCCGCCCGCGCCAGCGGCGAAGGCCCCGCCCACGCTTGCCCGCCCCGCCGCCCGCCGCGCGCACAAGACCGCCATCCGCGCAGACGCTGGCCCGCCCCTACCCCGTCTTTGCTGCGCGCCCTCCGCGCCCACCGCCCACCCGTCCCGAGCCCGCGCCCTCCCCCCTCCCGTGCGCGCGTCGCGCCACCTCGGGCCGCCGGCCCACCGAGCGGCGGCTTCTACCCATGCGCGCGTGTGCCCGAAAGCATGGCTAGCTCGCCACACTGCCCGCTAACGCCGAGGAGCTGCCCCCCCCCCGACCGCGCCCCGTGGACCGGCCGCACCCTATGGACCGCCCGCCCAAGACGCCTGGCCGTGCGACCCGTTCTAACCCTTGACCCGACTGACTGACGCCGCCCCCTACCCGGGCGCTGTCGGTATGCCCTCTCTCTTGTTGTTGTCATGGTAGTGATAGTTGTAGTAGTATTAGTTGTAGTAGTAGTGCTAGTGGTAGTAGTAGTAGTAGAACTAGTGGTAGTAGTAGTAGTAGAACTAGTGGTAGTAGTAGTAGTAGTGGTAGTAGTAGTAGTAGAACTAGTGGTAGTAGTAGTAGCAATAGTGGTAGTAGTAGTAGTAGCAATAGTAGAAGTAGTAGTAGAAGTAGTGGTACTACTTGGATATATTCTTCTGCATGGATTGATATCCAAACTACATGACTTCTCTTGAGACATATGTGCTTGTCGGCCATCGTGCCACTATTTTTTGCAGGTTTTGGAAACCTCACCGTGCAGGGGAGGTTCTGCTGAATTTTTTTAAATGATAGTATTTTGTTCCATTTTTGTAGAGAAGATCTTTGCCTATCTATGACCGTATCTGTTTCGGATTGTCCACGTTTTTTGAACAACCTACGGATGCGTAGATGGGTTAGTTTCCATGGTCTGCTCTGGTCCGAGACAGAGTTTCAGCATCACCTCCCTGTTGTTCTTCGGATACGCACTCTTCTTTGGCAGGACGTGTATCTGGAGAACAACGGGGAGGTGCTGCCGAAATTCTGTCTCGGATAGGAGTAGAGCATGGAAACTAACCTCATCTACGCATCCGCGGGTGGGATTAGGACCTATCCTCACCTATTAGATAGTAGGAACACCATGTAGATGCAATTGATGGTTACATTACTCGTTGATACATATGTTAGAGGATGGATGACCGTTAGTGGATGTACATGGACCAGAGAAGTTAGAGTGATTACACCACGGAATGGATGAACAAGACCGATGCTTTCTTGAACAGTGCATTTGGCAAGGCTGCTAAAGGACATTGCCTAGTTTTGTGTCCCTACAACAAATGTGGAAACAGGAGAATGGATTTACGCCGGACTACACCCGGTGGGTCCACCATGGTGAAGCCCATCGTATGAGAGAGGAGGTGGTGAGACCACGGGTGGAGGCTTTCGATGTTGATGCCGGGGTAACAGACATGTTAGATGACTTTCACCAAGGACAATTCAATGAGGGATGTGAGAAGGAGGAGATGGAGGTAGCCGCACAGGCGTTCTACGACATGATGGACTCGGCACAGAAACCCCTTCACGATCGGTCAACGGTGTCTCAATTGGATGCCATTGGACGCTTAATGGGGTTGAAGTCCGAGTTAAACTTGAGTCGAGAAGGCTTCGATAAGATGTTGGCCGTGATTGGCACCCTGCTTCCAAAGGGTCACATTCAGCCAAAGAGCATGTACGAGTCATAGAAACTCCTTCATGCATTTAAGATGTCGTATGAGCAGATTTGTCCAAAGGGGTGCGTCCTATTTAGGAAAGAACATGAGCATGCAAAGTTTTGTCCAAAGTGCAAATCATCCAAGTACCTGGAGGTAGGCTCTGATGATGGCCAGAAGAGGCAACTTACGATCACCGTGAAAATCCTACGGTACCTTCCATTCCTACCGAGGATACAACGGCTATACATGACCGAGGAATCCGCGAAACAGATGACATGGCACAAAAATGGCAAATGGTACAATCCTGACAAGATGGTAACTTCAACAGCAGCAGAAGTCAGAACAGGACATCCATAAGGAGTAGGTGCAAGGCAATAAGTTAAAGCGAAACTACATTCAAGGCTGGTTGAACAATGTGGATCTGATTACCACTCATGGAGCTAAGGAGGTTGTTTATGGTTTGATTGCAGTAAGTTCAAACACTGCTATGGTGTTATTTGACCCTAGTGCTTCACATTCATTTATCTCTAGGGAATATGTAGAAGATCATAAGATGACTATGCTTCCAATGAGGAAACCCCTAATAATTAACTCTCTAGGAGGAGAAAAGAAGGCAAACCGCTTATGCCCAAAAGTTAGTCTTAACATAAAGGGGAAGAACTTTGAGGCAAACCTTAGTCTTGGAGTTAATGGACATTGATGTTATCCTTGGAAATGGATGGTTATCTGCTTGTAAAGGAGTGATTAAGTATGCCCAGCATACTGTGCTTCTAACCACACCGTCAGGAGAAAGAATTGAGTATGAAGGTATTCAACCTGCACTTGAGGAATACGAGAATGACCTATTAGAAGGTGCATCCTGTGAGGATAGTAAAGTGGATTGTGAGTTTTCAGATGTCAGTGTAAAGGAGCAAACACCATTGGACGATCTCAATACGAGCGACGATCATGCTTATGCAGATTAGCCAACCAGGATCTTAGAATGGCTCTTAATGAAAGATATAACTTGAAAAAAAAGGATCGAATAAAGGCAGAGTATTTCTATCTCTTAGTCGACGTCTTTCGAATCTCGAGGATGAGATTTATCTTAAGGGGGGTAGAATTGTAACACCCTAAAATTAGCACTTTTGAAAATATGTTTAAAATAATTTATTTTTGAATTTTGTGCTCATGAAATATAGGAAAATAAATTTTTTTAATTAAATTAAAATTCAACATAAGGTAGCAACATGTTTGTGCATACATGCCAGTGCATTTGTTTCTTTGAATTGTGTGGATTTGATTCAAATTGAAAACATTTAAAATACTTTTGAAAAAAATAAATTAAAAATGGCTTTGAAGTAAAAGAAAAGAAAATTAGAAAATAAAAGAATTTAAAAAGTTGTAAAAGTTATTTTTGAAAA